GGGACCACTGCTCTGCCCACCATGCTGTGCCTTTTCTCTCCCTTGGAGTCCCCTCTCCAGCTTCTGACCAGCCCCTGTAGTGGCCTAAGAACCTCCACATTCCAGCGTTGACCCCTGGCAGGCGCCGAACCAAGGCAGAGGCAGTGCTGGGGAATCCTCTCTGTGACCCCAGGGCAGAGGTGGTCACTTCCTACCTTGGGCTCCTCAGGATACTGAACCCCTATTGAAGGGACTGTCTCGCTGTGTGGCCTTTGCCACATCACTCTCCCACTCTGGGCTGTCTGCGGAGGGTGGGAGAGTTCCTGCATCCAGCAGGCCAGGCCATGAGAGCTTCAGGTAGGAGACTTTGGAAGCCCCTTGGGGACAGCCTTGAGAGAGAAGCAGGAAAGGGGTGCTGAAAATGTGGCTTTGGTGGCTTCGTTTTCAGTGGCCCTGTCCCCTTGCCCCACTGAGACTTGAGGCTGGCCTGCCCCCGGCCAGCCTCAGCTCAGAGCCCTTTCCTCTCCAGGCCCAGGTGGTCAGCACAGTGTAGCTGTCCCAGGCCTGACCTCTGGAGTCAGACTGCCAGGGTTCAAATCCCAGCTCTTCACCACCTGAGGCTGGTCCCTGCCACCAGGTGTGTGACCTCCAGTCGGTCACCTAGCCTTTCTGAGCTTCAGCTCATAGCAGCACCTACCTTGTGGACAAGATGAGATGATGTGTGGAGTGCTTAGCACACAAACAATAGCTGCCCTGATGCTGCAGCAGAGGAAACGGTGGCCACGATAGGGGTAGGGTCTCATACAAGGCCACACTGTGCCTATCCAGAGCATCTGGCCTCTCTTCGGCTTGGCCCTGGATGGACCCCCTCTGGATCATGGGTGGGTGATCAACCTGCACAGCCTTACCTGGTGGCCTCGACTGCCCCTCAAGGGGCTGGGTCCCACCCTGTCCCTAAGGCCTACTTTTGCCAGGCCCTCCTGGCAGGGAGCTGCCTGCTTCTCGCCTCCCCTGGTGACCAGGCTTTGGGCGTTTGGTTGAATCACTCCTTCCAGTGAGTGATTATCGTAGCTGCTACCCAAAGCTTCCTGGCCGGGTATTTTAGAAAACTTTCTGAGGTGTACAATGACGGTGATTAACCTTTATTAAGCCCCCACAGCTGCCGGGTGCTGAGAATATTCCGTGGGCTGTCACCCTTTCAGCAAGAACACAGAGGGGCCTCCCTCTGGAGGTTTGGGGATGCGGGTGGGTGTGGTACTGATGGCATTAGTGTGGGGGCGTGGAGCCTGCAGGCTGATGGGAGTGCAGGGTTGGGCTGAGGCTGCGTGCCACACGATCAGGCCACACCTCTGATGCACACAGTGTATGTGAGGCTGCTGCCCATCACGGCAGCATGGCAGCTGATGTGGACAGGTACCAGCTGACCTGGGTCACGTGATGACACGCAGAACCACCAGCTCATGGGCTTGACAGCTGTCCAGCTGGGAAAACAGGACTGGGGGTGGGGGTGATGGTGTTTAAAGGCATCTGTCCATGGGAACTGGAGGCCCGGGGGTGGGGGTGGGGAAGCCCTGGGAGGGGAGGTGAGGACGGCACACACAGACAGATGGAGCACGTGAAACTCTGAATCGGTTCCCCATTTCCTCTCTGACCATCTGGAGGGCCGCCCATTCCCACAGAATCGTTCCCTGAACAAATAAATAGGCAAGGACAGATGAGGAATCAGACGCAGGAACCCCCCACCAAGGGCGGGGGGTAGAAAGGTCTGAGGGGACCTC